TAGCACTTTACAACACATTCAACACCTTACAACACATTTAGCACTTTACAACACATTCAACACCTTACAACACATTTAGCACTTTACAACACATTCAACACCTTACAACACATTTAGCACTTTACAACACATTCAAAACCTTACAACACATTTAGCACTTTACAACAAAATTCAACACCGTACAACACATTTAGCACCTTACAACAAATTCAACACCTTACAACACATTTAGCACTTTACAACACATTCAACACCTTACAACACATTTAGCACTTTACAACAAATTCAACACCTTAAAACAAATTTAGCACTTTACAACAAATTCAACACCTTACAGCACATTTAGCACTTTACAACAAATTCAACACCTTACAACACATTTAGCACTTTACAACACATTCAACACCTTACAACACATTTAGCACATTACAACACATTCAACACCTTACAACACATTTAGCACTTTACAACACATTCAACACCTTACAACAAATTCAACACCTTACAACACATTTAGCACTTTACAACACATTCAACACCTTACAACAAATTCAACACCTTACAACACATTTAGCACCTTACAACACATTCAACATCTTACAACACATTTAGCACTTTACGACACATTCAACACCTTAAAACAAATTCAACACCTTACAACACATTCAACACCTTACAACAAATTCAACACCTTACAACACATTTAGCACCTTACAACAAATTCAACATCTTACAACACATTTAGCACTTTACAACACATTGAACACCTTACAACACATTTAGCACTTAAACAAAAATTCAACAAATTTAGCACTTTACAACAAATTCAACACCTTACTACACATTCAGCACCTTACAACAAATTCAATACCTTACAACACATTTAGCACTTTACAACAAATTCAACACCTTTCAACACATTTAGCACTTTACAACACATGTAGCACTTTACAACACATTCAGCACTTTACAACACATTTAGCACCTTACAACAAATTCAACACCTTACAACACATTCAGCACCTTACAACAAATTCAACACCTTACAACACATTTAGCACTTTACAACACATTCAACACCTTACAACACATTTAGCACTTTACAACACATTCAACACCTTACAACACATTTAGCACTTTACAACACATTCAACACCTTACAACACATTTAGCACTTTACAACAAATTCAACACCTTACAACAAATTCAACACCTTACGACACATTTAGCACTTTAACACAAATTCAACACCTTACAACACATTTAGCACTTTAACACAAATTCAACACCTTACAACACATTTAGCACTTTACAACAAATTCAACACCTTACAACACATTTAACACTTTACAACAAATTCAACACCTTACAACACATTTAGCACTTTACAACACATTCAACACCTTACAACACATTTGGCACTTTACAAAACATTCAATACCTTACAACACATTTAGCACTTTACAACAAATTCAACACCTTACAACACATTTAGCACTTTACAACACATTTAGCACTTTAATACACATTCAGCACTTTACAACACATTTAGCACTTTACAACACATTCAGCACTTTACAACACATTCAACACCTTACAACACATTTAGCACTTTACAACAGATTTAGCACCTTACAACAAATTCAACATCTTACAACACATTTAGCACTTTACAACAAATTTAGCACTTTACAACAAATTCAACACCTTACTAAACATTCAGCACCTTACAACAAATTCAATACCTTACAACACATTTAGCACTTTAACACAAATTCAACACCTTACAACACATTTAGCACTTTACAACAAATTCAACACCTTTCAACACATTCAACACCTTACAACACATTTAGCACTTTACAACACATTCAACACCTTACAACACATTTAGCACTTTACAACAAATTCAACACCTTTACAACAAATTTTAGCACTTTACAACACATTTAGCACTTTACAACACATTCAACACCTTACAACACATTTAGCACTTTACAACAAATTCAACACCTTACAACACATTTAGCACTTTACAACACATACAACACATTCAACACCTTACAACACATTTAGCACTTTACAAAACATTCAATACCTTACAACAAATTCAATACCTTACAACACATTTAGCACTTTACAACAAATTCAACACCTTACAACAAATTTAGCACTTTACAACACATTTAGCACTTTACAACACATTCAACACCTTACAACACATTTAGCACTTTACAACAAATTCAACACCTTACAACACATTTAGCACTTTACAACACATTCAACACCTTACAACACATTTAGCACTTTACAACACATTTAGCACTTTACAACACCTTACAACACATTCAGCACTTTACAACACTTTCAGCCCCTTACAACACATTCTTCTTACTTCATCTTCTTCACTTCTTCCTCTTCTTCCCCTTCTTCCTCTTCTTCCCCTCTTCCTCTTCTTCCTCTTCTTCTTCTCTTCCTCTTCTTCCCCTTCTTCCTCTTCTTCCCCTTCTTCTTCCCCTTCTTCTTCTTCCTCCTCCTCTTCCTTCTTCTTCTTTCCTCTTCTTCCCTTTTCTTTCTTCTTCCCTTCTTCTTCCCCTTCCTCTTCCTTCTTCATCACTAACCCTTCCAACATCTATGCAGCCACTCACAATGGCTTCAGCCATTGTACCATTTCTAGTTGAGTGGCTGCATAGACTATGCAGCCACTATATGCTCTCCTACTGTTTATTGAGTGGCTGCATAGACTATGCAGCCACTATATGCTCTCCTACTGTTTATTCTTCTTCTTCTTCTTCTTCTTCTTCTTCTTCTTCTTCTTCTTCTTCTTCTTCCACTTCCGCCAGATTTTGGCACTTTTCAACTCCTCAACGCTTTCACCAAATTCAACAAATTATACATCGTTACGACCGGCTTCACCGTCTCATTATTGCTATTACTTTTTAAACTTCCACCTTTAGCACTTTTTCAAATATTAACAAAAGTTCAAGCACTTTTTCCCATTGACTTACATTGGACCAGTACAACAGATTACTCCCCCATACAACACATTACCACACTAACAATTCATTACCACAGATACAATACATTACAGCATCTTACAAAACTTGCAGCACCTTACAACACATTAGCACTTTACAACAAATTCAACACCTTACAACACATTTAGCACTTTACAACACATTCAACACCTTACAACACATTTAGCACCTTACAACAAATTCAACACCTTACAACACATTCAGCACCTTACAACAAATTCAACACCTTACAACACATTTAGCACTTTATAACACATTCAACACCTTACAACACATTTAGAACTTTACAACAAATTCTACACCTTACAACACTTATAGCACCTTACAACACATTTAGCACCTTACAACAAATTCAACACCTTACAACATATTTAGCACCTTACAACAAATTCAACACCTTACAACACATTTAGCACTTTACAACAAATTCAACACCTTACAACACATTTAGCACTTTACAACAAATTCAACACCTTACAACACATTTAGCACTTTACAACACATTCAACACCTTACAACACATTTGGCACTTTACAAAACATTCAATACCTTACAACACATTTAGCACTTTACAACAAATTCAACACCTTACAACACATTTAGCACTTTACAACACATTTAGCACTTCAATACACATTCAGCACTTTACAACACATTTAGCACTTTACAACACCTTACAACACATTCAGCACTTTACAACACTTTCAGCCCCTTACAACACATTCTTCTTACTTCATCTTCTTCACTTCTTCCTCTTCTTCCCCTTCTTCCTCTTCTCCCCTTCTTCCTCTTCTTCCTCTTCTTCTTCTCTTCCTCTTCTTCCCCTTCTTCTTCCCCTTCTTCTTCTTCCTCCTCCTCTTCCTTCTTCTTCTTTCCTCTTCCCTTTTCTTTCTTCTTCCTTCTTCTTCCCCTTCCTCTTCCTTCTTCATCACTAACCCTTCCAACATCTATGCAGCCACTCACAATGGCTTCAGCCATTGTACCATTTCTAGTTGAGTGGCTGCATAGACTATGCAGCCACTATATGCTCTCCTACTGTTTATTCTTCTTCCACTTCCGCCAGATTTTGGCACTTTTCAACTCTTCAACGCTTTCACCAAATTCAACAAATTATACATCGTTACGACCGGCTTCACCGTCTCATTATTGCTATTACTTTTCACACTTCCACCTTTAGCACTTTTTCAGATATTTACACAAGTTCAAGCACTTTTTCCCATAGACTTACATTGGACCAGTACAACAGATTACTCCCCATACAACACATTACCACACTAACAATTCATTACCACACATACAATACATTACAACATCTTACAACACTTACAGCACCTTACAACACTTACAGCACCTTACAACACTTACAGCACCTTACAACACTTACAGCACCTTACAACACTTACAGCACTTTACAACACTTACAGCACCTTACAACACATTTAGCACTTTACAACACATTCAACACCTTACAAAACATTTAGCACTTTACAACACATTTAGCACTTTACAACAAATTCAACACTTTACAAAAAATTCAACACCTTACAACACATTTAGCACTTTACAACACATTCAACACCTTACAACACATTTAGCACTTTACAACAAATTCAACACCTTACAACACATTTAGCACTTTACAACAAATTCAACACCTTACAACACATTTAGCACTTTAACACAAATTCAACACATTTAGCACTTTACAACAAATTCAACACATTTAAGACTTTAACACAAATTCAACACCTTACAACACATTTAGCACTTTACAACAAATTCAACACCTTACAACACATTTAGCACTTTACAACACATTCAACACCTTACAACACATTTAGCACTTTTAAAACACATTCAGCACTTTACAACACATTTAGCACTTTACAACACCTTACAACACATTCAGCACTTTACAACACTTTCAGCCCCTTACAACACATTCTTCTTACTTCATCTTATTCACTTCTTCCTCTTCTTCCCCTTCTTCCTCTTCTTCCTCTTCTTCCTCTTCTTCCTCTTCTTCCCCTTCTTCCTCTTCTTTCCCTTCTTCCTCTTCTTCCCCTTCTTCCTCTTCTTCCTCTTCTTCCCCCTTCTTTCCTCTTCTTCCCCTTCTTCCTCTTCTTCCTCTTCTTCCCCTTCTTCTTCTTCCTCCTCCTCTTCCTTCTTCTTCTTTCCTCTTCTTCCCTTTTCTTTCTTCTTCCTTCTTCTTCCCCTTCCTCTTCCTTCTTCATCCCTAACCCTTCCAACATCTATGCAGCCACTCACAATGGCTTCAGCCATTGTACCATTTCTAGTTCTTCTTCTTCTTCTTCTTCTTCCACTTCCGCCAGATTTTGGCACTTTTTCAACTCTTCAACGCTTTCACCAAATTCAACAAATTATACATCGTTACGACCGGCTTCACCGTCTCATTATTGCTATTACTTTTCACACTTCCACCTTTAGCACTTTTTCAGATATTAACAAAAGTTAAAGCACTTTTTCCCATAGACTTACATTGGACCAGTACAACAGATTACTCCCCATACAACACATTACCACACTAACAATTCATAACCACAGATACAATACATCACAACATCTTACAACACTCACAGCACCTTACAACACATGTAGCACTTTACAACAAATTCAACACCTTACAACACATTTAGCACTTTACAACAAATTCAACACCTTACAACACATTTAGCACTTTACAACAAATTCAACACCTTACAACACATTCAGCACCTTACAACAAATTCAACACCTTACAACACATTTAGCACTTTACAACACATTCAACACCTTAACACATTTAGCACTTTACAACAAATTCAACACCTTAGAACACATTTAGCACTTTACAACAAATTCAACACCTTACAACACATTCAGCACCTTACAAAAAATTCAACACCTTACAACACATTTAGCACTTTACAACACATTCAACACCTTACAACACATTTAGCACTTTACAACAAATTCAACACCTTACAACACATTTAGCACTTTACAACAAATTCAACACCGTACAACAAATTCAACACCTTACAACACATTTAGCACTTTACAACAAATTCAACACCGTACAACACATTTAGCACCTTACAACACATTCAACATCTTACAACACATTTAGCACTTTACAACACATTCAACACCTTACAACACATTTAGCACTTTAACAAAACTTCAACACATTTAGCACTTTACAACAAATTCAACACCTTACTACACATTCAGCACCTTACAACAAATTCAACACCTTACAACACATTTAGCACTTTACAACACATTCAACACCTTACAACACATTTAGCACTTTACAACAAATTCAACACCTTAAAACAAATTTAGCACTTTACAACAAATTCAACACCTTACAACACATTCAGCACCTTACAACAAATTCAACACCTTACAACACATTTAGCACTTTACAACACATTCAACACCTTACAACACATTTAGCACTTTACAACACATTCAACACCTTACAACAAATTCAACACCTTACAACACATTTAGCACTTTACAACACATTCAACACCTTACAACAAATTCAACACACCTTACAACACATTTAGCACCTTACAACACATTCAACATCTTACAACACATTTAGCACTTTACGACACATTCAACACCTTAAAACAAACAACACCTTACAACACATTCAAGACCTTACAACAAATTCAACACCTTACAACACATTTAGCACCTTACAACAAATTCAACACCTTACAACACATTTAGCACTTTACAACAAATTCAACACCTTACAACACATTTAGCACTTTACAACACATTCAACACCTTACAACACATTTAGCACTTTACAACAAATTCAACACCTTACAACACATTTAGCACTTTAACACAAATTCAACACCTTACAACACATTTAGCACTTTAACACAAATTCAACACCTTACAACAAATTTAGCACTTTACAACAAATTCAAAACCTTACAACACATTTAGCACTTAAACAAAATTCAACAAATTTAGCACTTTACAACAAATTCAACACCTTACTACACAATTCAGCACCTTACAACAAATTCAATACCTTACAACACATTTAGCACTTTAACACAAATTCAACACCTTACAACACATTTAGCACTTTACAACAAATTCAACACCTTTCAACACATTTAGCACTTTACAACACATGTAGCACTTTACAACACATTCAGCACTTTACAACACATTTAGCACCTTACAACAAATTCAACACCTTACAACACATTCAGCACCTTACAACAAATTCAACACCTTACAACACATTTAGCACTTTACAACACATTCAACACCTTACAACACATTTAGCACTTTACAACACATTCAACACCTTACAACACATTTAGCACTTTACAACACATTCAACACCTTACAACACATTTAGCACTTTACAACACATTCAAAACCTTACAACACATTTAGCACTTTACAACAAATTCAACACCGTACAACACATTTAGCACCTTACAACAAATTCAACACCTTACAACACATTTAGCACTTTACAACACATTCAACACCTTACAACACATTTAGCACTTTACAACAAATTCAACACCTTAAAACAAATTTAGCACTTTACAACAAATTCAACACCTTACAGCACATTTAGCACTTTACAACAAATTCAACACCTTACAACACATTTAGCACTTTACAACACATTCAACACCTTACAACACATTTAGCACTTTACAACACATTCAACACCTTACAACACATTTAGCACTTTACAACACATTCAACACCTTACAACAAATTCAACACCTTACAACACATTTAGCACTTTACAACACATTCAACACCTTACAACAAATTCAACACCTTACAACACATTTAGCACCTTACAACACATTCAACATCTTACAACACATTTAGCACTTTACGACACATTCAACACCTTAAAACAAATTCAACACCTTACAACACATTCAACACCTTACAACAAATTCAACACCTTACAACACATTTAGCACCTTACAACAAATTCAACATCTTACAACACATTTAGCACTTTACAACACACATTGAACACCTTACAACACATTTAGCACTTTAACAAAAATTCAACAAATTTAGCACTTTACAACAAATTCAACACCTTACTACACATTCAGCACCTTACAACAAATTCAATACCTTACAACACATTTAGCACTTTACAACAAATTCAACACCTTTCAACACATTTAGCACTTACAACACATGTAGCACTTTACAACACATTCAGCACTTTACAACACATTTAGCACCTTACAACAAATTCAACACCTTACAACACATTCAGCACCTTACAACAAATTCAACACCTTACAACACATTTAGCACTTTACAACACATTCAACACCTTACAACACATTTAGCACTTTACAACACATTCAACACCTTACAACACATTTAGCACTTTACAACACATTCAACACCTTACAACACATTTAGCACTTTACAACAAATTCAACACCTTACAACAAATTCAACACCTTACGACACATTTAGCACTTTAACACAAATTCAACACCTTACAACACATTTAGCACTTTAACACAAATTCAACACCTTACAACACATTTAGCACTTTACAACAAATTCAACACCTTACAACACATTTAACACTTTACAACAAATTCAACACCTTACAACACATTTAGCACTTTACAACACATTCAACACCTTACAACACATTTGGCACTTTACAAAACATTCAATACCTTACAACACATTTAGCACTTTACAACAAATTCAACACCTTACAACACATTTAGCACTTTACAACACATTTAGCACTTTAATACACATTCAGCACTTTACAACACATTTAGCACTTTACAACACATTCAGCACTTTACAACACATTCAACACCTTACAACACATTTAGCACTTTACAACAGATTTAGCACCTTACAACAAATTCAACATCTTACAACACATTTAGCACTTTACAACAAATTTAGCACTTTACAACAAATTCAACACCTTACTAAACATTCAGCACCTTACAACAAATTCAATACCTTACAACACATTTAGCACTTTAACACAAATTCAACACCTTACAACACATTTAGCACTTTACAACAAATTCAACACCTTTCAACACATTCAACACCTTACAACACATTTAGCACTTTACAACACATTCAACACCTTACAACACATTTAGCACTTTACAACAAATTCAACACCTTACAACAAATTTAGCACTTTACAACACATTTAGCACTTTACAACACATTCAACACCTTACAACACATTTAGCACTTTACAACAAATTCAACACCTTACAACACATTTAGCACTTTACAACACATACAACACATTCAACACCTTACAACACATTTAGCACTTTACAAAACATTCAATACCTTACAACAAATTCAATACCTTACAACACATTTAGCACTTTACAACAAATTCAACACCTTACAACAAATTTAGCACTTTACAACACATTTAGCACTTTACAACACATTCAACACCTTACAACACATTTAGCACTTTACAACAAATTCAACACCTTACAACACATTTAGCACTTTACAACACATTCAACACCTTACAACACATTTAGCACTTTACAACACATTTAGCACTTTACAACACCTTACAACACATTCAGCACTTTACAACACTTTCAGCCCCTTACAACACATTCTTCTTACTTCATCTTCTTCACTTCTTCCTCTTCTTCCCCTTCTTCCTCTTCTTCTTCCCCTTCTTCCTCTTCTTCCTCTTCTTCTTCTCTTCCTCTTCTTCCCCTTCTTCCTCTTCTTCCCCTTCTTCTTCCCCTTCTTCTTCTTCCTCCTCCTCTTCCTTCTTCTTCTTTCCTCTTCTTCCCTTTTCTTTCTTCTTCCTTCTTCTTCCCCTTCCTCTTCCTTCTTCATCACTAACCCTTCCAACATCTATGCAGCCACTCACAATGGCTTCAGCCATTGTACCATTTCTAGTTGAGTGGCTGCATAGACTATGCAGCCACTATATGCTCTCCTACTGTTTATTGAGTGGCTGCATAGACTATGCAGCCACTATATGCTCTCCTACTGTTTATTCTTCTTCTTCTTCTTCTTCTTCTTCTTCTTCTTCTTCTTCTTCTTCTTCTTCTTCCACTTCCGCCAGATTTTGGCACTTTTCAACTCCTCAACGCTTTCACCAAATTCAACAAATTATACATCGTTACGACCGGCTTCACCGTCTCATTATTGCTATTACTTTTTAAACTTCCACCTTTAGCACTTTTTCAAATATTAACAAAAGTTCAAGCACTTTTTCCCATTGACTTACATTGGACCAGTACAACAGATTACTCCCCCATACAACACATTACCACACTAACAATTCATTACCACAGATACAATACATTACAGCATCTTACAAAACTTGCAGCACCTTACAACACATTTAGCACTTTACAACAATTCAACACCTTACAACACATTTAGCACTTTACAACACATTCAACACCTTACAACACATTTAGCACCTTACAACAAATTCAACACCTTACAACACATTCAGCACCTTACAACAAATTCAACACCTACAACACATTTAGCACTTTATAACACATTCAACACCTTACAACACATTTAGAACTTTACAACAAATTCTACACCTTACAACACTTATAGCACCTTACAACACATTTAGCACCTTACAACAAATTCAACACCTTACAACATATTTAGCACCTTACAACAAATTCAACACCTTACAACACATTTAGCACTTTACAACAAATTCAACACCTTACAACACATTTAGCACTTTACAACAAATTCAACACCTTACAACACATTTAGCACTTTACAACACATTCAACACCTTACAACACATTTGGCACTTTACAAAACATTCAATACCTTACAACACATTTAGCACTTTACAACAAATTCAACACCTTACAACACATTTAGCACTTTACAACACATTTAGCACTTCAATACACATTCAGCACTTTACAACACATTTAGCACTTTACAACACCTTACAACACATTCAGCACTTTACAACACTTTCAGCCCCTTACAACACATTCTTCTTACTTCATCTTCTTCACTTCTTCTCTTCTTTCCCTTCTTCCTCTTCTTCCCCTTCTTCCTCTTCTTCCTCTTCTTCTTCTCTTCCTCTTCTTCCCCTTCTTCTTCCCCTTCTTCTTCTTCCTCCTCCTCTTCCTTCTTCTTCTTTCCTCTTCTTCCCTTTTCTTTCTTCTTCCTTCTTCTTCTTCCCCCTTCCTCTTCCTTCTTCATCACTAACCCTTCCAACATCTATGCAGCCACTCACAATGGCTTCAGCCATTGTACCATTTCTAGTTGAGTGGCTGCATAGACTATGCAGCCACTATATGCTCTCCTACTGTTTATTCTTCTTCCACTTCCGCCAGATTTTGGCACTTTTCAACTCTTCAACGCTTTCACCAAATTCAACAAATTATACATCGTTACGACCGGCTTCACCGTCTCATTATTGCTATTACTTTTCACACTTCCACCTTTAGCACTTTTTCAGATATTTACACAAGTTCAAGCACTTTTCCCATAGACTTACATTGGACCAGTACAACAGATTACTCCCCATACAACACATTACCACACTAACAATTCATTACCACACATACAATACATTACAACATCTTACAACACTTACAGCACCTTACAACACTTACAGCACCTTACAACACTTACAGCACCTTACAACACTTACAGCACCTTACAACACTTACAGCACTTTACAACACTTACAGCACCTTACAACACATTTACACTTTACAACACACATTCAACACCTTACAAAACATTTAGCACTTTACAACACATTTAGCACTTTACAACAAATTCAACACTTTACAAAAAATTCAACACCTTACAACACATTTAGCACTTTACAACACATTCAACACCTTACAACACATTTAGCACTTTACAACAAATTCAACACCTTACAACACATTTAGCACTTTACAACAAATTCAACACCTTACAACACATTTAGCACTTTAACACAAATTCAACACATTTAGCACTTTACAACAAATTCAACACATTTAAGACTTTAACACAAATTCAACACCTTACAACACATTCAGCACCTTACAACAAATTCAACACCTTACAACAGAATTTAGCACTTTACAACACATTCAACACCTTACAACACATTCAGCACTTTAAAACACATTCAGCACTTTACAACACATTTAGCACTTTACAACACCTTACAACACATTCAGCACTTTACAACACTTTCAGCCCCTTACAACACATTCTTCTTACTTCATCTTATTCACTTCTTCCTCTTCTCCCCTTCTTCCTCTTCTTCCTCTTCTTCCTCTTCTTCCTCTTCTTCCCCTTCTTCCTCTTCTTTCCCTTCTTCCTCTTCTTCCCCTTCTTCCTCTTCTTCCTCTTCTTCCCCTTCTTCCTCTTCTTCCCCTTCTTCCTCTTCTTCCTCTTCTTCCCCTTCTTCTTCTTCCTCCTCCTCTTCCTTCTTCTTCTTCTCCTCTTCTTCCCTTTTCTTTCTTCTTCCTTCTTCTTCCCCTTCCTCTTCCTTCTTCATCCCTAACCCTTCCAACATCTATGCAGCCACTCACAATGGCTTCAGCCATTGTACCATTTCTAGTTCTTCTTCTTCTTCTTCTTCTTCTCCACTTCCGCCAGATTTGGCACTTTTCAACTCTTCAACGCTTTCACCAAATTCAACAAATTATACATCGTTACGACCGGCTTCACCGTCTCATTATTGCTATTACTTTTCACACTTCCACCTTTAGCACTTTTTCAGATATTAACAAAAGTTAAAGCACTTTTTCCCATAGACTTACATTGGACCAGTACAACAGATTACTCCCCATACAACACATTACCACACTAACAATTCATAACCACAGATACAATACATCACAACATCTTACAACACTCACAGCACCTTACAACACATGTAGCACTTTACAACAAATTCAACACCTTACAACACATTATTAGCACTTTACAACAAATTCAACACCTTACAACACATTTAGCACTTTACAACAAATTCAACACCTTACAACACATTCAGCACCTTACAACAAATTCAACACCTTACAACACATTTAGCACTTTACAACACATTCAACACCTTAACACATTTAGCACTTTACAACAAATTCAACACCTTAGAACACATTTAGCACTTTACAACAAATTCAACACCTTACAACACATTCAGCACCTTACAAAAAATTCAACACCTTACAACACATTTAGCACTTTACAACACATTCAACACCTTACAACACATTTAGCACTTTACAACAAATTCAACACCTTACAACACATTTAGCACTTTACAACAAATTCAACACCGTACAACAAATTCAACACCTTACAACACATTTAGCACTTTACAACAAATTCAACACCGTACAACACATTTAGCACCTTACAACACATTCAACATCTTACAACACATTTAGCACTTTACAACACATTCAACACCTTACAACACATTTAGCACTTTAACAAAACTTCAACACATTTAGCACTTTACAACAAATTCAACACCTTACTACACATTCAGCACCTTACAACAAATTCAACACCTTACAACACATTTAGCACTTTACAACACATTCAACACCTTACAACACATTTAGCACTTTACAACAAATTCAACACCTTAAAACAAATTTAGCACTTTACAACAAATTCAACACCTTACAACACATTCAGCACCTTACAACAAATTCAACACCTTACAACACATTTAGCACTTTACAACACATTCAACACCTTACAACACATTTAGCACTTTACAACACATTCAACACCTTACAACAAATTCAACACCTTACAACACATTTAGCACTTTACAACACATTCAACACCTTACAACAAATTCAACACCTTACAACACATTTAGCACCTTACAACACATTCAACATCTTACAACACATTTAGCACTTTACGACACATTCAACACCTTAAAACAAACAACACCTTACAACACATTCAAGACCTTACAACAAATTCAACACCTTACAACACATTTAGCACCTTACAACAAATTCAACACCTTACAACACATTTAGCACTTTACAACAAATTCAACACCTTACAACACATTTAGCACTTTACAACACATTCAACACCTTACAACACATTTAGCACTTAACAACAAATTCAACACCTTACAACACATTTAGCACTTTAACACAAAATTCAACACCTTACAACACATTTAGCACTTTAACACAAATTCAACACCTTACAACAAATTTAGCACTTTACAACAAATTCAAAACCTTACAACACATTTAGCACTTTAACAAAATTCAACAAATTTAGCACTTTACAACAAATTCAACACCTTACTACACATTCAGCACCTTACAACAAATTCAATACCTTACAACACATTTAGCACTTTAACACAAATTCAACACCTTACAACACATTTAGCACTTTACAACAAATTCAACACCTTTCAACACATTTAGCACTTTACAACACATGTAGCACTTTACAACACATTCAGCACTTTACAACACATTTAGCACCTTACAACAAATTCAACACCTTACAACACATTCAGCACCTTACAACAAATTCAACACCTTACAACACATTTAGCACTTTACAACACATTCAACACCTTACAACACATTTTAGCACTTTACAACACATTCAACACCTTACAACACATTTAGCACTTTACAACACATTCAACACCTTACAACACATTTAGCACTTTACAACACATTCAAAACCTTACAACACATTTAGCACTTTACACAACAAATTCAACACCGTACAACACATTTAGCACCTTACAACAAATTCAACACCTTACAACACATTTAGCACTTTACAACACATTCAACACCTTACAACACATTTAGCACTTTACAACAAATTCAACACCTTAAAACAAATTTAGCACTTTACAACAAATTCAACACCTTACAGCACATTTAGCACTTTACAACAAATTCAACACCTTACAACACATTTAGCACTTTACAACACATTCAAACACCTTACAACACATTTAGCACTTTACAACACATTCAACACCTTACAACACATTTAGCACTTTACAACACATTCAACACCTTACAACAAATTCAACACCTTACAACACATTAGCACTTTACAACACATTCAACACCTTACAACAAATTCAACACCTTACAACACATTTAGCACCTTACAACACATTCAAACATCTTACAACACATTTAGCACTTTACGACACATTCAACACCTTAAAACAAATTCAACACTTACAACACATTCAACACCTTACAACAAATTCAACACCTTACAACACATTTAGCACCTTACAACAAATTCAACATCTTACAACACATTTACACTTTACAACACATTGAACACCTTACAACACATTTAGCACTTTAACAAAAATTCAACAAATTTAGCACTTTACAACAAATTCAACACCTTACTACACATTCAGCACCTTACAACAAATTCAATACCTTACAACACATTTAGCACTTTACAACAAATTCAACACCTTTCAACACATTTAGCACTTTACAACACATGTAGCACTTTACAACACATTCAGCACTTTACAACACATTAGCACCTTACAACAAATTCAACACCTTACAACACATTCAGCACCTTACAACAATTCACACCTTACAACACATTTAGCACTTTACAACACATTCAACACCTTACAACACATTTAGCACTTTACAACACATTCAACACCTTACAACACATTTAGCACTTTACAACACATTCAACACCTTACAACACATTTAGCACTTTACAACAAATTCAACACCTTACAACAAATTCAACACCTTACGACACACATTTAGCACTTTAACACAAATTCAACACCTTACAACCACATTTAGCACTTTAACACAAATTCAACACCTTACAACACATTAGCACTTTACAACAAATTCAACCCCTTACAACACATTTAACACTTTACAACAAATTCAACACCTTACAACACATTTAGCACTTTACAACACATTCAACACCTTACAACACATTTGGCACTTTACAAAACATTCAATACCTTACAACACATTTAGCACTTTACAACAAATTCAACACCTTACAACACATTTAGCACTTTACAACACATTTAGCACTTTAATACACATTCAGCACTTTACAACACATTTAGCACTTTACAACACATTCAGCACTTTACAACACATTCAACACCTACAACACATTTTAGCACTTTACAACAGATTTAGCACCTTACAACAAATTCAACATCTTACAACACATTTAGCACTTTACAACAAATTTAGCACTTTACAACAATTCAACACCTTACTAAACATTCAGCACCTTACAACAAATTCAATACCTTACAACACATTTAGCACTTTAACACAAATTCAACACCTTACAACACATTTTAGCACTTTACAACAAATTCAACACCTTTCAACACATTCAACACCTTACAACACATTTAGCACTTTACAACACATTCAACACCTTACAACACATTTAGCACTTTACAACAAATTCAACACCTTACAACAAATTTAGCACTTTACAACACATTTAGCACTTTAACCCAACACATTCAACACCTTACAACACATTTAGCACTTTACAACAAATTCAACACCTACAACACATTTAGCACTTTACAACACATACAACACATTCAACACCTTACAACACATTTAGCACTTTACAAAACATTCAATACCTTTACAACAAATTCAATACCTTACAACACATTTAGCACTTTACAACAAATTCAACACCTTACAACAAATTTAGCACTTTACAACACATTTAGCCACTTTACAACACATTCAACACCCTTACAACACATTTAGCACTTTACAACAAATTCAACACCTTACAACACATTTAGCACTTTACAACACATTCAACACCTTACAACACATTTAGCACTTTACAACACATTTAGCACTTTACAACACCTTACAACACATTCAGCACTTTACAACACTTTCAGCCCCTTACAACACATTCTTCTTACTTCATCTTCTTCACTCTTCCTCTTCTTCCCCTTCTTCCTCTTCTTCCCCTTCTTCCTCTTCTTCCTCTTCTTCTTCTCTTCCTCGTCTTCCCCTTCTTCCTCTCTTCCCCTTCTTCTTCCCCTTCTTCTTCTTCCTCCTCCTCTTCCTTCTTCTTCTTTCCTCTTCTTTCCTTTTCTTTCTTCTTCCTTCTTCTTCCCCTTCCTCTTCCTTCTTCATCACTAACCCTTCCAACATCTATGCAGCCACTCACAATGGCTTCAGCCATTGTACCATTTCTAGTTGAGTGGCTGCATAGACTATGCAGCCAGCCACTATATGCTCTCCTACTGTTTATTGAGTGGCTGCATAGACTATGCAGCCACTATATGCTCTCCTACTGTTTATTTCTTCTTCTTCGTCTTCTTCTTCTTCTTCTTCTTCTTCTTCTTCTTCTTCTTCTTCCACTTCCAGCCAGATTTTGGCACTTTTCAACTCCTCAACGCTTTCACCAAATTCAACAAATTATACATCGTTACGACCGGCTTCACCGTCTCATTATTGCTATTACTTT